TTGAGATCCGGCGGGCGGTCAAGGCAAGGTTGCCGCCCGCCGGAAGGTGAAGAACACCAAGATCTTTAACCTTGCTCTGATACCATGTAAAAATTTATGTATTATTGATTGATATCTGATATCTTATTTGTTGATATATTTACAATTCCTATATTGATATGTATTACAAGATTGTTGTGTATATTGATATATAGTATTACAAATCAGAGTGGCATTATATAGGAGAGGGTTTGGGTTAGTGAGTGGTGGTAGTGGATGGTAGTGGGTGGTAGTGGAGATGGTAAGTGTGTTAGGTTTAGTGGGGTGGATGTAGTGGGTTAGGTTAGTGGGTTAGGTTTAGTGTACATTAACAATAGATATAGATATAGATATAGATATAGAGAGATTGCCTTTCCGGTGAAGTGAAGAAGGCGTTCGACGGCGAGGGAAATGCCGACGCTGACAGTGCAAACGCCGGCGACGACGACCCATGTGGGAGTGAACTCCAACGTTGTCCCTCCTCCACCTTCCCCGCCGCCGCCCATTCAAATTCTCTCTTCTCTCTCTCTCTTCAGAAATCAATCGATTCAGCCTCCGTTTTGGAACTGCCTTTTTGACTATTTTGATTATTTTAACCTGGATTAAAAAATTTGTTTTATAAAAAAATTTTTGATTTTTTGATTTTTTTTTATAAGAAAAGAATGTAATGATTATGAATTAGATGTGATGTTTTGTTTATTGTGACTAAAATAATTTATTTATTTTTTATGACTAAAATAATCAAAAAAGCCTAAAAACTTTCTTCCCAAACGGTGTCTCAAACACTTCTCTCTCTACGTGAATGTGAATGGGTTATGTGCGTTCTGGGAAGTTGGTTATAATCTCACCAAAGAATTGGTTATGAGCATGTTTTCACCAAAAAAATTAATTATAACAATCTTCCCAAAATAACCCATAATCTCACCGCGTTTGCAGTTATTACAGCACCGAATTGGTGAGCCAAACTCCACTCTGTCAGTTTTGTTGTTGAGTTCTATATTATAACGCAAACACATACAGACTCTCTCTCTCTCTCTCTCTCACACACACTCACACTTCATGTTCTTCGTTTTGAAAACAAAATTTTAAATTTTAAAAAATATCAGCAAAGTATGGAAAAACGTCATATATTGAACAGAGATTTTGTGAGCATGTACGAGTCAATCAACCGGAATCAAATCCCCTCTTTAATTTTTCTTCATAACTTCTTATTTATTAGGTTATTGTTGACTTTTTGACTTTCGTGGGTTATTTTTGTAATTATAAGCGTGCCAGCAAGGATCAATCAGTCCTTACAAAATTTTGATTGCCAACCAATTATCAGATGATTGTGTTATAGTTCTTTCAGTCTCAATGAAGAGAACTTTTACTAGTAGCTTTGATTTAGGAGAATTTAAGCATAAGAACAGTTAAATAAAGTGCAATTAAAGCATTTCATTAGTATGAAAAACTTACAATGATCCAAACTCAGCCTCGTAGAGGTTTACAGCGACAATCTACTTGAAACTACTCCTATGAATGAAGTGCAGTGCAGGAGTTTAAAGTACAGGAATGTAAAGAACAGGAAATATAAAAACTGGAATGAAATATGTAAAGTAAGACTGGTTTCTTGGATCTGAGTCTGGGGATTTTTTCTGGGGTCTTCCCTGCTATTTATACTCCTCAAAGATGACCATCGAATTGCACTTCAAACCGTCGAACTGCTCCTCCGTGGTCGCTGATCATGCTGCCTTATAAGTAGTTCTACTACGCCATCACTTGCAGTTAGGCTTTCCTCCTATATTTGAATTTGAATGTGAGTAACCGTTGAAGCCACGTCACCTCGCATCTCTTTGTTGATCCACTGCTACTAAATATTTATTTATTTATTTTAATGTGCATTATATTTCATACATTTATGTGTTATATTTTTTTAATATTTTAAATATTAAAAAAATTTAAAAAAATTATTTTTTATTTTAAATATAATTTTTATTATAAATATTAGTTAACCAAACAAATGTTTTACTTTTTTTGATAAAAAAAAAATTACATAATAAATATATAAAGTATAGAGTAAGTGAAAGGAAAAAAAAGAAATTGAATTGAATTTGAAAAAAGTAGGAGTATGGAGATGTGAGGGACTAAACCCCATAACCTCTCCCATGAAAAGAAGCACACTACCATTTGAGCTACCTCCCCATTTGTCTTGTATTTTGGTTACAAAACAATTTTATTTAAAAGCGTGGTTTCTAATCTCGCTTTCTGTATAAAAACAGATTTCCTTAAACGTGTGGTTTGTAACCACGCTTTCTTAATTAAAAGCGTGGTTTGTAATCACGCTTACCAATTTTCCACAGCTGGGCTACAAAAATGGTGAAAGCGTGGTTTCTAATAACGTTTCAGCTTATTTTGGAAATTCCGTCCAAACTAGGCCTAGTTTGAAAAATAGGTTGGTATTTTAGCTTATTTTGGGAAAAGCCCCAAAAAGGTATGAGTTGGTATTATTAATTGAATTTTGATAATAACACACCTCTTTTCACTTTTATAAAAAAATAATAATAAATAAAAATAGAGAGAGTAATGTGATAATTTATAATAATTTTTTAACTAAAATATATAATTGACAAACGAAATCTAAAGATGCATTAAATCACTTTAAATCATTAGTTAAGTATACTAATTCATACATGTAATTTTATTCATCATAGAAAATAGAGAAGTTATAAATATATCTTATTTTTTCCAATTTTTTATTTTTATATTATATATTTTTCATAATGGAGTTTATTTTTCTAATATTTTTTATCATAAAACTAAGGAAAAATTATTTATAAGTCCTATTAAGAAGATTTATGCTACATATGATCTTACTAAAAAATTTATGTTTCCATAAGTCCTGTGAGAAGTTTGTTGATACATTTACCCTCAATATTAGTTATTAATATCATAAATAATAGTAAAATCATATATAGGAAATTGAATATTACCATAGATCATATTTATATAAACGTAACGTAACGTGACACCTACATAAACGTAACGTGACACCTGTACGTAACTTGACACCTACATAAACGTAACGTGACACCTATATAGGAAATTGAATGTTATCATAGATCATATCTACATAAACGTAATGTAACGTGACACCTACATAAACGTAACGTGACACCTAGAGGAAATTGAATGTTGCCATAGATCATATTTATATGAAACGTAACGTGATACCAACATAAATCAGTAACATTTTCACATTCAATTTAAAAAAATAAAAACTCATTAAGTTTGCGAAACGTAACGTGACACGTTACGTTACGTTTATGTAGGTGTCGTGTTACATTTACGTAGGTGTCACGTTACGTATAGGTGTCATGTTACGTTTATATATGTGTCACGTTACGTTACGTTTATGTAAGTGTCTCGTTACGTTACGTTTATGTAAGTGTCATGTCACGTTACGTTTATGTAAGATCTTGTGGAATATATTCCAATCTAAATAGGACTTTGAGACTTTATAAGAAATTACACTACATAAACATAACGTGACACCTATATAGGAAATTGAATGTTATCATAGATCATATCTACATAAACGTAATGTAACGTGACACCTACATAAACGTAACGTGACACCTAGAGGAAATTGAATGTTGCCATAGATCATATTTATATGAAACGTAACGTGATACCAACATAAACCAGTAACATTTTCACATTCAATTTAAAAAAATAAAAACTCATTAAGTTTGCGAAACGTAACGTGACACGTTACGTTACGTTTATGTAGGTGTCGTGTTACATTTACGTAGGTGTCACGTTATGTATAGGTGTCATGTTACGTTTATATATGTGTCACGTTACGTTACGTTTATGTAAATGTCTCGTTACGTTACGTTTATGTAAGTGTCACGTCACGTTACGTTTATGTAAGATCTTGTGGAATATATTTCAATCTAAATAGGACTTTGAGACTTTATAAGAAATTACACAGGACTTGCCCTAGCATAAATGTCTAAAAAAGAACTTATAAATAAGCCTCCCTAAAACTAAGTGCATTTATTTTAAAATAAAATTTTGTGGGTTTTATCACCATATATATACTTTTATCGTTTTATTTCACTTGCATATATATATATATATACACGACATATATAAAGTAAGGACATATATATACATATAGATATGAAAAGATTATGATATAATGAGCCAACCAGCTGGCCCATATACCAAATGACCATATATACACATACATGTATGAAATTTGTATTTGAAAGAACCTCATAAGCTTCACAGTTTTTTTTTTTTTTTTATTCCTTTCACGGATAAAAATCAATTAGGTCTGTCATACTCAATGCACAGGTCTCCAATTAACGCAGGGTTTGGGAGAGGAAGATGATCTGGAGGAATAACCAACCATACAGCAAAACTGAGCAAATCACTGACATAATTAATATAATTATTTATATTAAGCCCACAAAATATACATACATAAGATTCAACCGAGATTTAATCCTCTTCCTATAGATATATTGCCATCATGGGCACAAAACCAACTAAATTATAACTTAGAGAGAGAGAGAGAGGGAGAAGCCTCTGCCTACTATCATTTCCAAAAATCTAAAGTATCTCCTTGAGCAGCAGCAGCTGTGGGCGAAATATTCTCCGGTGCAGATTCCTCGCCGGCAAGTCTTCCCAACTGAATTCCCAGAGTTGAATCATCCGTTGATTTTCCTCCAACAGAGCCATTAGTTGCCGCCTTCAACTGCTTCTTCCTCACAAACTGGACCCAAGCAGCATGCAGCCCCGCTTGCACATGCGCTTGCATATGCTCATCCAATATTGCTTTCTTGAAAAAAAATCCCATCTTCATTTCATTGCCCCACACAAACAAGAAATTTTTTTTAAAAAAAAAGAGGTGAAAAAGAACAAATAAATGGGGTCAGATTTCACAAACCAAGTTATATTATTATTACATTACACTGCCATTGAACTTACCTGTGTTGCGATGGCATACAGTAGTAGGATGCTATAACTGCAGAGCACCTGAAGGTCCTGAATGAATACCCTAAAAGGACAAATTATAATGTTATTTGTAACTCTTAACAGTAAACAAATAGAATTAAGATTACAAAACAATGCATCACGGTGTGTATACAAATATTCACAGAGACAAAATTTAGAAAAACCAAAAATGAGAAACTATTCAAGGAGAAATGCTGCCAATGGTTCTCACCCTATAACAAGCCTCGGTACTATATAACGAACTTGTCCCATTATGCAAGAGTCAACCATATTGAACCTGCAAGTGAATAAAGCATATAAAAATGTCTGGAAATACTAGTCTTAAAATGACTAAAAAAATGAGAAGCAATTTCATATCAGCTTTACCCATATCCAGAAGAAAAATGCTATTTCAAAAGCATTTTGGAATAGTATGAAATGTATCAAGTAAAGGACAATAGGGGGCTGATGAAACCAATAATGATCGTCTGAAGGATGAACTTCTAATTCCCCTTCTATTGCAACATGTATATCTGCAACCTCACGAACCAACTGGCTGACTACATGCTCCAGCTTAGTGCCCACAGCTATTAGAAGCTGAAAAATAAATAACAGATATAATTACATATAAGAGACGTCATAAACAGTAACACTTTCATAAGAACAACCCATTAGCCATTAAAGTTCTATGGCAAACCGACCAGCTATGCGAGTGATACTAAACTAGAGAGATAAAGACAAGCCATTGGAATTGATTTAGAATATGAAGTTCCCATGTCTTGTTAACTAATGCTAAGAGAGATGCATCAGATATTTTGACCAAAAAGAAGAGAGAGACATGCATTAGATACATCATTATTTATAGTTAAAATATAAATAAATATTAGAGATTAGTGTCAACTACAAATTGTTTTTTGGTAAATATAAATAATTAGTATTTAAATACAAGTACTAGAATAAATTTGAGTTAATTATTTCTTATATGGATTTTGTCTTGCTTGGTAGCTTCCCCGATGGAAATGCAATTCTAGGTATTATTTTATTATGCCATTTAAGTGGCTTTGGCCATTGCGCTTGAAATTCAAAGCTGTTTGATAGTTTATACTCATGCCACCATTAGTTAAATTATTGGTTAACAGGCTTCATAACCATGGTAACTAGGGGTGTGCGCGGTGCGGGTCGGTGCGGTTTGAGAGAAAAATAGAAACCGTATGGCGGGTGGCGGATTGATAAAAGTGTCATTAGAATTTGCCATTTTCCTTATCTAAAACCGGCGGTTCGGTTGGCAAATAATGGCGGATTTGCCTTGGCGGTTCGGGCGGATTGGCAGTTTATAAAAAATATAATTCAAATTACAAAACTTAAATCAAAGAGTAAAAAAAAAACAAGAGATACCGTGATGTTAAGCATCTTGCGAAACTTTCTTCTGATGCAGCAAGTGTAGCAACAACATGATAATATCAACGACTATGCCATCAGTTCATTACAAGCATCTGTGGAAGCTACAATGATCAAATACAATACATAAAATTCCCCTCGAGCAGTAATGTAATACTATATTCTAAGGTATAGAACAACAAGCAAACTTAAGTAAAAAAGAATTTTTAGAATCTTATAAAACATGATTTAATAGCGGTGCGGGTCGGTGCGGTTTAGAAGAAAAATAGAAACCGGCGGATTGATAAAAGTGTCACTAGAATTTGCCATTTTTCTTATCAAAAACCGGCGGTTCGATTGACAAATAATAACGAATTTGCCTTGGCGGTGCGATTCGGTGCGGTTTTGGCGGTTTCGACGATATTATGCACACCCCTAATGGTAACTGTCAATGAATGAATCTCAGTTATGGGCATAGTAAAAGAAGGGTGAACATACTGTCAGAGCAAGGTACAACTTATTAATGCATCAAACAGTTGTACTCTGCTCTCAACCTACAACCAGAATTTTTTGGCACTTGATTTCCGTTGATGGAAATCCAAGCAAACATGCAAGAGAAACACAATTGTTCATTTTTAAAAATTATATTAAGTGTTACAAGCTCTATAACATGCTCTCAGGACAAAATAGCTACTCAAAGATCAAAATGTACGGGTGGAGCACATGCTCTTCACAAATTTAAATACGTCTTATGGGAATTGAAACTTGAAATTCAAAGGATTTTATGAAGTTCAGATAAAACAGCAAGCAAACAAAAGACAAAAGAAAATTGACAAATTCATTGAACATAATTTTTTAAGGAGTAAAATAAAAAATTGAGCAGACAACTATGATGGGTAAAAAATGCATGACCAAGTACACAGATTATATTAGAACAACTCACAATGAAAGGAATGAAAGCTATCCAAAAATACATATGCCACCCTGCAAAACAAAATAATAAATCACTTTTCATCTAAATATCTTAACATGTACCAAAACCAGAAACTATAATACAATGACAATTTCAAAACAAGAATATCATTATATCACATAAATTTGTGCAGGTGAATCCAGAAATTTGGGAGGAGACCAACGTTTGTGTTCAGGAACTTGTCACTGTAATTTTGGAAGAGTCTAAACTTCTTCCCATCTAATTAGAGCACCCACACCGACAAAAATTAAAAATTAATAAAACAAAATAGAAAACTCCAAGCACTTTTTGAGTAACAAACCTAAACATTTGAGTGAACCCCAACAACATTGAGCAACAACATGAAACTAAAATTAAAGCACAAGAAAATAATCAATTCACTTGATAACATTTGGCATTAGGATTTAAAGTGAAAGTAACATACCACTGACATTCAGCAACAAGAAGATGACCACAAATATCCATAGGTACCAACTGCAACCAGCCAAATCTGATATTAACCCATTAAAATAAAAATAAAAAAAAATAAAAAGAAGAAAAGGAGCAAAGATTGATATTAAAATAGAAGGAAATTTTATCTTTTAGGCAATACCCTCCTAGTAACTAAATGGCAAACCAGCACTATAAACTCTTTCTTTCTTCTTAAAAAAATAATTAATTAATTTTGGCAAATTGCCCAATGAACAAACAAAAGAAGCCATAGGAAGCTTTAGCATTTAAACAGGTAATCCCAGTTATCACTTGCCTTATACCAACAGCTTTCTTAAAATCATCATCATCTTCTAGGACACAGATCATAAACTTGTGAAAATCGAACTTTGGGTTTCCCCTGCAATGTTTCTACAAGTAAAAAAATGGTTTAAGACAAATGCTTGTGAAGTAGCAATAAGGAAAAGAGAAAATATCATTTCACCACCTAAACTTTCACACATTTTTCAATTTGACCACCAGACTTTGATTAATATCAATTTTACACCCAAACTTTCAAAATTTTAATCAATTTGGCCCCTGCCGTCACATTCCGTCTACAATTAGACAGAATGTGCTGACGTGGGGGGCAAATTGATTTTTAAAGTATAGTTTGGGGGATAAAATGAAATTTCAAATAAACTTTGGTGTCACGTCACCACATTCCATCCAATTGTAGACGGAATGTGACGGCATGGGCCAAATTGATCAAAATTTAAAAAGTTTGGGTGTAAAATTAATATTAATCGAAGTCTAGAGGTCAAATTGAAAAATACGTAAAAATTTGGGAGGCAAAATGATATTTCCTCTCAAGGAAAATAAACAAATATCAAAGCAAACACAAACCATATATCGGATACTTACCATGATAAAACCATGTCTCAGTGTCATGTAGTCTGATCTAGTGATGGATCCATAAAATTGCTTGAAAAAGGAACGCTGAAAAGTACAACATAACAAGGCATTACAAGTATGACTCAATGCATTTGGAAAACAATAAGCATATCATTCAAGTGGTTTCAAGTTATATAGCTACCCAACAGTGAGACAGTTACTTAAGAGTAATGTTTAAGTGATGGTTCAATTATAAACTAAGTATTGCTAAACTACAAAACAACAAGACCAGAATTTTTTTTTTTTTTTAGAGTCTTTGTAGTGATTTCTTCCTATCTTAATATATGAAAGTAAACTTTGGTTTATAATTTGAATGATAATATGTGCAGGCAAACTTTTTGTGACTACTAACAAATAAAAAATATGTTGGTACTCATAATTTTATCCATAAACTTTTTATAAAAAAATATATGTAAGAGGAACTTATTTTCGAAGTTCGCCTAAGGCCTCATACATCTCAGGGCTGTCTGCCAAGCCACAACAGAATTAGGATGTTACACCAGTTGTGTCATATCAACATGAAGGTCTACTATTAAAGAAAATAGAGGATCAAGCTGAAACCAATGTCTTAGGAGAAACATTAGGGCATCATAGGATCAGAGGTATGTAGAAATGTCAAAAACAGTACCATTTTCTACAAAATGGGAGAATGGGAGACACATTCTACCATGAGAGGATAAGAACTTACCAACCAGCCCAACATAACTGAATTTTTACCAATACCCGGAAAGCGACCCTTGATGGAGTCATGTTGATGGACATCAGTGAGCTTAGGTTCCAAAGCTGCACAATAATGTGCACAAATCAGAAGTATTATGCACAAGATCAAAGTAAAATTTACAGAGGACACAGAATGAAAGCAATTCAGCTCCAAAATATTTACTATCTTATGCCAATAGCATTGGTCACACAATTTTACTTTCTTCTTCCTTTCTTAAGTTATGTTCTTTTCATATTACTAATAATAACAGCAGAAGCAACAACTACTTAAAGTCTTCACAATCAATCTGTTAACATAGCCCTTAGTTGAATTCAGACCTTCTTAAGTAGAAATATGATCTATATATGAAGCACGAGTACTCCAAAAATGTTGCCGTACAAGTACCGGGTACTTCCCGGGTGCGGGTACGCCTATCGATACGGCTGCACGCGTACCGGGTACGTCAAAAACGCACTCGGTACGTTTTATACGGTCAGTATACCGATGGATACGCCGCATGTACGCCATGGGTACGTTTTGAGTACTCTGGGATAAAAAAATGAGATTTTTTATAAATTAAAGGGTACCAGAGCAATTTTTTATATCTATTTTAAAGAATTATAAAAATCTGAGGTTTTTTTTGTAATAAATGAAACATGAAACCAAATAAAATTAGGATTCTTAATAAATAAAACATGAAACCAAATAAAATTAGGGTTCTTTATTCTCTCTATCATTCGTTCATCTCAGCTCCTTCCATATCTCATTCCGAAATTCTCCAAGGCTGAAGAACTTCGAAGGTGCTAGGTTTCCATGTCTATTCGATCATCTCCTTCCAGAAATACTCCCAAGAGAGTCTGAAGAACACTTCGAAGGTGCAATTGAAAGGTTTAATCGAAGGTGCTGCTGATTGATTCTCTCATTCGAAGGTGCGATTGAAGAGGTAAGTTCATCTTCGATTCTTTCCCCTTTTCTTCTTCGATTCTTTATCCTCTTTCTTTCTTTCATTTTTTTTTTTCAGATTTTTGTGCTGTTTCTTCGCTGCAAACGATCGATTCTTCTTTTCTCTTTGGTTTTCTCTTTCTTTGATCCTTCATCTTCTTCTTCATTTTTCTTGAACTCTCTTCTTTTTTTTTTTTTTTTTTTTTTTTTTTTTTTGATATATGTCCAGATTTTTGAACTAAAATCTGTCCAGATTTGTTGAACTAAGATCTGTCCTTTTTTTTTTTTCTTCTGATATATGTCCAGATTTTTGAACTAAAATCTGTCCACATTTGTTGAACTAAGATCTGTCCTTATTTATTTATTTTCTGATATATGTCCGGATTTTTGAACTAAAATCTGTCCAGATTTGTTGAACTAAGATATGTCCTTATTTTTTTTAATTTTTTTTTTGGATATATGTCATATATATATGCAATATGATATTGGTTGTAAAGCTTATGACAAATTAAAATCCCTTGACACCTTAAATTCTCTTTCGTAGCAGTTTATTTTGAGGGGGAGGAATGGGGGTTTTGTAACTGAAAAACAGAGCATTAATTTGTGACTCATAACCATTGGTTTTGAGTTAAGTTAAGTTAAGTTATCTGTCTGTTTCCACATTGATTAATTTCCTTGCAATGCTTGATGTTGTGGGTGGATATGATTGGTCATTGTTTCATTGTCTTTCATGAACTAAAATATTGTCTTTCATGAACTAAAATTGAGAGATACTTTGTAGGTCAATATGGGAGTCCGATTGAAAGGTGTTGTAGTGTCCTTGTTCTTGTCATACTTGTCACTGAAACAGTGCATAATATGTCAAAGTAAGATTTCACAAATATTATAAAAAAATATCTTGTCATATTTGTCTTTTAGTTTTATAGTTTTGTTTTAGTTTTGATATTTAGGCCAAGTTTGGCATACACAAAATAATCCATCTTTTTATCTTTTTTTCATCACATCACCTCTCTACTTTTCTGCACATCTTTTCGTAAAAAGACAAAAAGTGCACTTATTTAGGTCATCCCAAACAACCCCTTAATTTTAATTTGTAGGTTGGATCCTTTAACTATAATTATAAAAAAATAAAAAAAATATCGGCGTACCGCAGCCGTACTCATATCATATTATTTTTTTGGGATTTTGCATATCGGCATATCCGTACTCGTACCCGTGCCGTACTCGTACACGTACACGCACCCTTGTTTTCTAACTATATTGGACAGTTTCTGTAACATACTCCTAAGAGTGAACATTTATCATGTAAATGCATCCGTGCAAAGCATGTGCATACACAACTTAATTAAAATAGTCACCAAAACAAAACAAAAAAAAGAACAGCAAATTTTGCTGAGGTTTAATGGGCAGTAACTCTCACCTTGTTCTGTATCATAATTATATTTTGCAATGGAGTCTTCCCAGTGCTTCCATAGACGTATCTATGTCACGATAAACACAAAATTACAGCAGAAGATTATATAACTAGTATGTGGTAAGTTAACAAACATATCTTGAGAAAAAAGTGGAAACAAATATCATGCTCACCTTTGCCACTCCAAATACAACAGTGAGAACACGAAAAGTCACATGGAAAATGGCTAGCACAAAGATAAAGATATGTAGATGATGCAATGCTTCAACAGACAACAATGGAACCTTATTCTGCACAAACACACAAACAAACAAACAAAAAATAGTAACTAGAATTATCAATGTGGATGTTCATGTGCGACTACAGATAATAACAATCCAAATATGATCTTATCATGGAACTAAAATAACAAGTATAAATTGTACATAATATATACACAAGTGTGTTTTAAGACAATCCAAAACAGAGTATAAAATATAGCTTACATTTACACTCTGTTTGGTTTGAGTGCTATGGAGAGAAAATAAAAGAAATGGAGAGAAATGGATTTCAATCCCTTGTTTGGATTACCAAATACTAGAGAAATGGAGAGAAACATATTTCTCTCATAACCCCTATTTTCAATCTCTCCAAAAGTGGGGAGAAATGGAGAGGAATGAAACTACTAAATATTATTTTGTTATAATACCAAAACTATTCTTTTAGATATAGAATAAATAAAAAGACTAACACCTACAAAAAGGTTAAGTTGGTAATATAACATTACATCATTTATTTTATTTTCTTTTATAGAGCTTAACCTAGCTTAACCAAACAAGATAAGAATGAAATCATCATTTCTTTTTTTTTTCTCACTTATCTATCAAAACAAAAGGAAAAGAAATCACAATCTCTTCTTTTCTCTTGTAACTTAATCATTTCTTATCTTTTTTCCTCTAAGTTACCAAACATAGCGTTACTTATAGAGACTGAAAACAAGACAAGGATTGAATTAGAGCGTTGCAATAATGAGAGTGGGAATAAAGATGTGTTCAATACAGTAATTCTTTATTGCCTAAGCCACTGGGGTTTACATGCACATGGATAAAGTTCACAAATGCAAACTACTCTTAAAACATCATCACAAAAACATAATTAAGGGGGAAGGCAAGGGAATAATCCGATCACCTTCGCAGCACAGTAATTGGCCCCGCGTAATTGTTCAGCGAGCAAACGGCGATGATGGGAAGTAGTTTCAGTGGTGTTAGAAGAAGAATCTCCTTGGTGGGAAGAAGATTGTGATGAGAGCTTACAAGGAAGGAGGTGATGGGTAACGCTCTGATTAACACATATCTTGATTATACTGCCTTGGAATACAGTCAGAAGTAGCGAAATAAACCCTAACACCATCAACTCTGCTCCCAACCCACATTTACATAAATAATATAATAATTAGACTTAGAAAGAAACAAAATTGAGAGAGAATAGAGTTTGTAATAATTTCAAACAACATGAAATTTTAGTCACCTGCTTTGACTTTCTGTAAAGCTTCAAAGAGGAGCCTTCGTTTCTTCCTCTGCAGATACTGCAATTATATATATATATATATATATATATGGTGAAATTGATAAACTTTCTAAATTGAAATTCACAGTAAAAACAGAACTGATTATAGATATAGATATAGAGAGATTGCCTTTCCGGTGAAGTGAAGGAGGCGTTCGACGGCAAGGGAAATGCTGACAATGACAGTGCAGACGCCGGCGACGACCCATGTGGGGGTGAACTCCAACGCTGTCCCTCCTCCATCTTCACCGCCGCCGCCCATTCAAATTCTTTCTTCTCTCTCTCTCTGCAGAAATCAATCGATTCAAACGCTTCTCTCTCTACGTGAATGTGAATGGGTTATGTGAGTGTATTAATCTCACAGCGTTTGCAGTTATCACAGTACCGAATTGGTGAGCCAAACACCACTCTGTCAGTTTGTTGTTGAGTTCTATCTATACTATTATATTAAGTCAACCTCAGATTTGGTCTCTTGAAGCTGTTGCCATGTGAAATTTAAGTGATTTACATTTAAAAAAAAAAAAAAAAAAAAACCACGTTTGCTAATTTTTCTAACCAGCTACCTAGGCCTCGTTTGGAAACAGACTAATTTAGTAATTTTTTTAGCTATTTGGCTAAAAAAGTAAGTAAAAAAAACTTATATGTTTGGGATGACTTTTTAACTAATTACAAAAAGATGTGTAAAAAGTAGAGAGAAAATAGAATCTTTAATTTTTTGATATAAATTGTTGACTTTTTAGCTAAAAAAATAACTTTTTAACTTTTTAACTAAAAAAATAAATCCCAAACGGGACTTTAATATTCAACTTCAAGAAGAATTATAAAAAAAAAAAAAAAGCCCATTTTCCCACGTTCCTACTACAGTTTCTACCACCCTCTGTAACTGTTTTTAAATAAACTAAATGGAGCCTTATCAAGGATCATGTTCATTTCCTGGAAAGTAAGTCCTAAAGCATTTGTCAGTACAGTTTGCGTAATATTATTATTATTATTATTACTAGTGGTTGTCACACGGGATACCCATGCAATTCAAATAAATAGAAATAAAATAAAATATTTATCATATATTGTGTATAAGTTAAATTGTAAAAGTCTTATTTATTTGATATAAGTTTAAGGTTTAAATCTCCCCTCTCATTTATCGAATTTTTTTTTTTTAATTTCAAATAAAAAAGTAGACACGTGACAGCATAAGAAACAAAGGTTTCAAGACACCATAAGGGGTGCTCACTTTATAATAGTATAGATAGATCGATATTAAGTGAACTTTAGATATTATCTATACTATTATATTAAGTAACGGCAATGCTGGGGACCCCCAGTGGGGGCGACCCCAGTACCCCACCTCCATGTAGGGGGCTGCCAATGGCTAAAAACTTAAAAAAAAGAAAAAAAAAAAAAAACTGGTTTTTTGTCCAATCAGAGAGGACCCCCAGTACCCCCACCGGGGGTCTCAAGCTTTATTCATTAAGTAAAGTCTTTTTTTTGTGTCTTGAAACTTTTGTCATGCGGTATTTATATAATAAATAAATAAATAAAATAATGTACAATAACTTCCCACTCAACCACATTCTCTAAATAACTACTCTACAATAACTTCTCTTCTTCAATAACTTACTTTTATCATTTTTCTTTTTTATTTTTTTCTTTCTTCCTCTCTTTCTACAATGGTTTTCTCTTTTAAAGAAAGTACAAAATTGTTTGATACAATGATGACAAAGAAAGTACAAACTAATAAAAAACTATCTTTTGTTTCTTTTTTGATGGTGAGTGATCTACGAATTTTTAAATTTTATATTATCAATGATTGAAACTTTTGTTTATTTGTTTTGTTTTTGGTATAAATTTTGTTCATTTTTTTTTTTTTCATCTTCTCCTTTTACCATCATTCTGTTACATGTTTTTTTTTTTTTAACATTTTGATTTTTCAAAGAAGGAGATTGAGTATGTTGAAGATGCCCAAACTGCAAACTCATACAAGAGTTGGTTATTTGGTGAGTCATTATGCAGAATTTATATTCATAGAATTTGTATTTCTGTTTTTTTTCCCAGGTTATTTTACATGAATTTATATAATTTTTTTTCTCCCCAAAATTGTCTTACAACTTATATGCATAATTCCAGTTCAAAAACTTATATACATAATTTATTTATTTTTCTAAATTATTTTACAACTTTGTGTTGACTTTTCAAGTCGTTACCAATCAATATTTTTTTTTTCTTTGATTGAGTAAAAAAAAGGGTGTTCTGAATTTTTATAGTAGTATAGAATATATATATATATATATATATTTAATTTTAATATCCACCAATAGTTCGTATAAGAAATTGAGTTAATCAACCAAATTATTGTGAAATAATGAACCAGCTCTATCACTACAACAACTGCATCAAACCCATCAGACAATTAACTCAATGTCCATGAAAAATAGATAAACAGTGACTCATATTTATGGGACAAAGAAATTCAAGAAATAAATATATAATATGTATTTTGTTTGTTTGTATAAATTTTGTAATCCTTTAATAGTTTTTTATTTCTTCTTGATGTTGCAAAAATAAAAAACTCCTTTTTCATTTTCTTCATTACATTGATTAAAAAAATACAAAAAAATAAAATTAACTTAGATTTTGTGTATATATTATCTTTGTGAGGATATTTTTATTTTCTTTGTTTATAGATTTTATGCACACATATATTAGATGCTTTACAGGTAGTATAGATAGATGCCAATTTTACAATACAAACTTGAATTTAAATTATATAGGTTGAATTTAAATTATATAGGTTATCATTCTAAGTATAAATTTATTTTTTTTTTTTTTGCACATTGATTTAACAAGTTAATAGAGAAGTTAGAAAAATAAAACAAAAAAGGGAATTTTTTTTTTATTCATTGTGTTTTCAATTTTTTTCTTTCTATCTTTCTTTAAAACGTACCAGTTTTTCAATTCCCAATCTGTTCCAAAAAAGTAGTATTCCAAACTTTTCAAAAAAAATAAAATAAAATTGCACACACAAAAAAAGAATGGGGGATGTTCTTAAACATTTTTTGAAACAAAATAATAATAATAAAATGTTCTTAAACATTTTTTGAAACACAAATAATAATAATAATAATCTCTTAATTCTTGGATGAATGAGAATTGTATGTTAAAAATATATTCCAAAAGTTAATTTATTTTAGAAAAAAGAATGAGAAAAAAATAGATATTCAGAATAATTTTAAATTTCAATATATTTCAAAAGTTTCATTATATCAAGTTGCTTAGGAAAAAAATTTGACTATTATTTTACTTCGTTTATATCCAAAACAATTCAATGTAATTGTTATATTTCTTTGGGTATATCAAATCTATTTAACTATAAATATTCTAAGAATCTTGGATTTATAATTTTTAAAAGGAATACTGTTTTTTTAAGAATTACTAATTTATTTTGTTTATATCAAAATTGTAAGTGTTCACTATTTTTTTTTTTAATAAGTTTGTAATGTATAATTATTTTTTAAAAAATAATTTTTTTTAATTTGGACACACATCGTGTGTCCCACCGCTAGTTTATCATGACGCAAACACCACTCACTCTCTCTCTCTCTCTCACACACACACTCCACGCGCTTCGTTTTGAAAGCAAAATTTAAAATTTTAAAAAATATCAGCAAAATATGGAAAAACGTCACATTGAACAGAGATTTTGTGAGTGGTGTTTTGAAACGTTGGTAAAAAATTAATTTTTTGAATTTTTTGTAATTTTTTGACTTTTTATGCTAAGTTTTTTATGATTTTTTTGACTAAAAATATTAAAAAATCAAAAAATTAACTTTTTACAATGTACAAGTCAATCAACCTGCCTTATAATTATGTCGCAAAATCACCGGCGCATGTCAAGGATTTAAAAAAGTGGTGTTTTGAGAAGTTGATAAAAAGTGGACTTTTTAACTTTTTTAGTGGTTTTTTTGACAAAAAAAACTGGATTGTTTTAAGTAAAAAAGCTGACTTTTTTTGGCTAAAAAGGCTGAAAAATAAAAAAATTGGCTTTTTTGACAACTTCCCAAAAGACCCTAAGAGAGGTATGAGTTGGCATTATTAATTGAATTTTGATAATAACACACATCTTTTCACTTTTATAAAAAAATAAAATAAAGAAAGTAATGTAACAATTTATAATATTTTTTAAATTTTTTTGACTAAAATATATAATTAACAAACGAGATCTAAATATGCATTAAATCACTTTAAATTATTAGTTAAGTATACTAATTGATACATGTAGTTTTATTCATCATAGAAAATAGAGAAGTTATAAATATATCTTATTTTTCCAATTTTTTATTTTAATATTATATATTTTTCATAATGGAGTTTATTTTTTTAATATTTTTTATCATAAAACTAAATGCATTTATTTTAAAATAAAATTTCGTGGGTTTTTTTTTCTAATTTTTAAATGCATTTATTATTATTTCTTCTAATTTTTTTTTTTCTAAAAATTAAAATAAAAAAGGAAAGGAAAGGAAAGGAAAGTGAATCTAAAAATTAGAAGAAAAAAAAGGAAAATAATAATAAAGGAAAATGAATCCAAAATAAATAAATAAAGGGCATATAATGTTTTATATTTGTTATAAAATAAAGCGCATTAAATTTTTTAAAAAAAAATCATGAAATTTTATTTAAAAATAAATCCATTTAGTTTTGTGATAAAAGATATTAAATTAAAATAAACACTATTATGAAATATATGTAATATTGAAATAGAGATAATTGGAGAAAATGATATTTTAGTCTTTAGCAAAATATATTTATAGTTTTTCCTATTTTCTATGATAGTAGAGGTAGGTAAGATAATTTAATGAATTTCAAAATTTGACGGAGTCGTAAAATATTGGAGTTTTTAGTTTAAGATTCTTGATATTCAGATTTTATAAGATAAATGACATGTAATATTTTCGTAGTAGTTGAAATCTCTCAACATTTTCAAAAAGAAATTTGAATGATTCAAAGAGAAATTTTACAGAGACATTTCAGTTTGTTACAGATAAATTTAAAATTTCTTTATATCGAACTGACATTTCTCTAATAATATTATTGATGGATTTTAACGAATAAGAAAAAATATATTCGATTTCTCATACTACCAACAATTTGAGAGGGATGTTTTGCCAATTTTCCCAAAAATATTTTAGAGTATGATTTAAGGTTTGAAAATTTATCTCAAGTTTGAGTTATTTAAAGTTATTGAACATTTGTCTGGTTGTTCACTATTTTTATTTTTATGATTGGGTGTCTAGATTAATTTACACACACATTGACTAATCTCGAGATCCATGCAAAGCATCCCTTCACATAGATCAAACAAATATTGGGCAGAACCCTCAGACGTGGCCGAATGAGTTGATAGAACCTTGTGATAGTTGAATCTGAAACCTAGATGGAGCACATCCCAGACTCCAAGCTACACCCATGCGAGCATCTCCAATGGACTCTTTAAATAAGGGTTGTTAGCTATTATAGCTAACATTGGTGTTGTTTGGTACAATTTATTGTAAACTAAAAGT